GAGCAAGCATAGCGGGCAGCTGTTGTGATATAAGTCTGCGGTGACTTGATGGAAATCCTTCTCCTGAAACTCACCACAAGTTTCTAACAAACATAGAAGAACTGAATGACCGATTTCATATTTGTGTTGAAAATCAGAATCTGGTTTTTTATGCTGAGTAAGAGAAGCAGAAAATTTCCAAACTGGTCTCAGGTCGATGAAGGTGTATCTTGCCTTTCTGATTCTGACTAACTTTGAAATCTTCAACCGTTTCGACTGCGTGTGGTTGAAACCTTGCTTCCTATATAAGTGAAAGAAGTAACCTCTTTCAAATCTCTCCCGTTGATGGTGATTGGTGCTGGTTGTTGTTGCTGTTCATGTTGGTTGGTTATCTTCATCACCTCCGTCTTCACTATGTTCACCTGAAGTCTTGTTTTCGCCTCCAGTTTATTGCTTTTCGCCTGCACATCTTCGAGATTAATATAATTCATCCACGCACGAAATCCAGATTTTCTGGTGTCTTCTTATCCGTCCAATGTATTCCTATCTTCTCACTTCCAATGTACAGTCTGACGCATAATCCAGTTCACCACAATTAGAAATATCATCAGTGATAATAGACAGCCAGCCAGCCCTGTCCTACTGCTGTATTCACTTCGAACCTCTCACTGAGTCTTCCGTTGTGGATCACCTGATACGTGACATTGTCATAAAGCTGTTGAACAATGTTAAAATAATACCAATAAAAAACAATTATTCCCTTGCTATTGCAGGATTAAACTATCCAGAAAATTAATCTTACCGCGTGATTTCAATGACATCCTAGGAATGAGTACAAACAAGCAAATTCAAGTGTTTCCAATACCTACTGAATTCAGTAGTAGAATGCATTTTCGTAAAATACACATCAATGTGAAATAATACCATTAATATCTATTATCCTATTACTATTTTAAATATTAGATATTTTAAAATTAACAAACAACTTATATAGACTTTTAGATTTTGTCAAGTTGAGCATGAATCAGAAGAAATTCACCTAGATGTTTGGAATATTATAAGTAGCAGCTTGATATGTTACAAGTATCATAAATGAGAAATGTACTGAAAGAAACACCTTTTTATTCTCTTGTTTATATTATGTTGGTAAGTGTTGTTTACTAACATTTTTTGGAAAAACTACTTGTTGAAGGTAAAATTATATGTAAAGTGGAAAACATAAATTTCCATTTTCCCCTTCTTCTTCTCCTTTTCATGATGAATAGACTTTACAATAACAAAGATCGATTTATTGATCTTATGGTCTAAAATAAAAACACTTACAGAAAGGAAAAGAAAACGAAGTGGACATTCACTTGAATATATATATACTACTAATTACCTTCAATGCTGACTTTATTACATAATCAACTTTCAGTGAAAATTTAAGTTACATGCAAATTTATGCATGATAAATTACTTTATCTAGTGATGAAATCAATGTTTAGGTGCATAATCAATTTGTGTGTGTCCATCTTATGGTAATCATTGTTTAAACAAACACAAATTTATCGACTGGACTAGATATCAATACCTATTTGTATTGATTTTTTTTCAAAAATAAAAACTTTAGTATTCCGGACAGAGTGATTTATTATTATTATTATTATCATGATCATTATCGTATACTACTTACTTGCTATTCACACACACACACATGCACACAAATATGTGGTTTATACAACCAGGAAGAATATTTTGTGAATGACTAACCATTTTCAACGCAATCAAATTCCTCCGAAAACAATTGTGACATCCAGTTATCTGGATGCTTATAAAGATAAACACGGAAATGTCAGTAAGACTGTGTTCAGTGTTTTGTTAGCAGTGAAGAGCCATGATCCTCTCTAGTGTACATATGAAGTGACTACAAAAATAGAGTAATTAATCAATGTATAGGTAACGAAGACGAATTTTAGAACTCATCTGTAAGCGCAAATACTACACTTTTTTTTGATTGGACACTAGTCAGTAGCTAGTGTAATTTGTGTGCATGTCTAGTCCTTTCTTTGGTGCAGACTGAATTCTATCAATCAAGTTCAACAGGTGGCTACCGTGCTAGGTGGCTCGTCATGACGGTGTACTGTGAATTGTTGATATTAGATGGTTGGAGGCAATCGGCAGGAAGCTTGGTTGATGAGTGCCAACTAGCACAAAACCTAGATGCAAAGCTTCCTGCCGATTGCCTCCAACCATCTAATAACAATTACTAACTTTCCGCAAGTATAAAAAGAACAACATCGTGAGTATATCTACGTTTGAATCAGAGTGCAATGTTTACAACATTCCGTTTATACTGAAGAAATGAGAACGAAATCAGAAGAGACTATTGCAAGGCTTACGGTTAGTATATATTTAATACTCCATTGAAATGAAAACCTGATATTGTTTCAACTGCTTCAAATGACACCTAACAGATATAGTAGACTGAAGCTTCGGTGAAAACAAAATAATGTTGGCTTTGAAAATGACTACAGAGACAAAACAAAAAGAATCTATTCTAGCTTTAATTCAATCAAATCAGTGACAAAATCACTGGTTTGTAAGCCAGAAATGGACAATTTAGAACAAATCAATGGACCAAACTAGTCACAAAGAAAGACTCCAATCGATAATCCACTCACTATGAAATGAAATGCTGCTCAACACCCACTTGCGAATCCATACAGCTGGCAATGAGCCACACCAAGGATATAGGGGCTGGTGATACAATGCGAGTGCTAAAACCTCGGTAGGTAGAGTGGGATTCGAACAGATTACTCGCTAGTTGGAAGTAAATTGGCTAAACCACAATCCCCTACCTCAACAATAGTAATTTTTATCAATACCTAAAAAGTATAAGTCTACTTTAATTCTTTGTAAAGGTCCATTGTAGATAACGCGCATGTTGCTGTCAAAACCTCTTCCGATTAAAACTGAAGCTCAGAGAGAAACAAGCAATCAAAATATCCACATGGTAAACCACGAATATAAAGTGGGTTGAAGTGTTTGAATCTGGAAAGCATTCTATTTTTAGACACGCCTGAACATTTTACTGGTATCCATACGTCTCAGCATAGTCTTACTCATTACTATACAACAATTTCCATAGAACTTTATAGTTAAGTCAACTAACAATCAAACTGTTTCGCTTGACTGAATCTAACCCCGCCTATCAAGATGCCAGCGACCAGTTAGCATAACTAAACCCCACATGAAGGCATGGTTTGTTGCCTAGTGCACAAATTTTAGCTTAATCGCGCTAATATATGAGAAAGACGCACAATACCACCTTGATAGGAACCAGTCTGAGTAGTCATGATCAGTCAGTTGAACTAGACAGTTTAAAACCTAGATTTTCAAATCCCAGATAAGCTCACTGTTGATTTGAGGAACAATATTATTCTTACCGGAAAAATAGTATCTCCGATACTGGACTGAATGCGTGATGCCGTCTACACCACCATTATCCAACCATAAACATCCAGACCTGAAATACTAATGTTTTCCACTGCAAAATCACACCCCATGAACGGTCTGGTTCGGACGACGGGGGGTAGACTCAGGTCTTCCTCTGGAAATGCTCTCATGTGGCCAAGCGATCATAGCCTCTACCAGGTTAGTTCTATTCACTACGTTTACGCAGACAGGGGTGTTCCGCACAAAACAGAAAGGGCAAATGTGACCGTCCGGTGCTTACAGCCGGACTGGTGGGAAGCTGGAAAACTCTGATTCCCAACCAATATAGTGTACATGACCTCCAGAACCCGAACGGATCCAGTGGCGTATGAACGTGTTTTGGTCACCAGTAACCATGGGGATGTAGGTCCATTGTCATGTGGATCAAACTTTAAGTCAAAGGCTTGGAGATAATTCCTTAAGACGACCACCTCCTTCAATCCGAACAGCATCCCAGCCAAACTTTGCACGAACTATAAAACAACAATTTCATCAGTATGGAGCATTTATTGGTGTGCCTAAAATATATCAAGTTTGTGTTTTTAAATAAACAAAATCAATAATCCACCACAAATGAAGACTCATTATTATACAGTAAGTATAATAGCAGTAGCTATTGAAGCCTTAGTTAGAATCAAATCAAATTCTCTCATCTTTTGTATCACATATTGTGAACAAAACAAAAGTATGTGTTTGCAAATAAAAATATATTTAAGTGTGTGAAAACTTTAAGGAAAAATTTCTAAGAAGATGGAAAACAAAATATGTATATATATTAAAGTATATCAAAATAAACAATAATGAAACATAACAATTTAGAAAGTGATTTCACATTTCAGTACAGTAAAATTAAAATAATTTAGGCAGAAAATAAAATACATCAAATTTAAAGGGGATAATACCTATTTAGTACTCACCGAATGCATCCATGACCAAAAACCACGTGCAAGCACACAAGCACAAAGTCAACACAAAAACAAACAAAATCAATTGTGTATAGCTTAGAATAACAACAACAAAATATTACAGAAGTAGTGTAGAAGTGTGCAGAATGCAGTGTAAGAAAGGCATTTTTAAGCGGTGAAAATATTGAGATTATGACAAAAGGGTAAGTTGGGTGTAGGTGTATTACTTGTGTAAATACGATGAGATTATGTTTGTTAAATACAGATAAAGAGAGAGAGAAGTGATCTGCTCAAGTAAAGTAACTCATATGATGACTATTATTATTGCTATTATTATTATTATTATTAAATAATGTCTACTCTTTAGTGGATGTTGTAAAACGAACAACAGAAAAGGCAACAACTTGCTTAAATGCGCTCAGCATAAATACGTAAACAAATATTCAGATGTATTGTGATCAGTATATTTGTATTCCTGCATATACTTGTATATATATAGATGTGATATAGATAGGACATATATTTCCTTTGGATAATGATGACAACATTATTGATGATGATAGAGCAGGAAGAGAATTAAGCACAATAGAAACATCATCTAGATGACGATGTTAAAATTAGCCAGAAATGTTTATTGATTCATTTTGTCGTTAATCTAGAAGTAATAGAGTGATAATAAGAATCTGATTAAGCATATTACCTATACAAAATAATAAGTAGGAATAATTCACTTGATGTATTGTGAAAGTTAATAATAATGACTTGTGTCTTTGTGTCGCACAAACTTGAAGATTAACAAACAAAAACCAACAAACTGGCCGAAGAGACGGTGGAAATGCAACTTTAAGTGAACATAGAGAAGACAGAGGTGATGAAGAAACGCGACTCGACTGACAACAACAAGCATCAATCACCTTCGATTGGAGAACTCTAAACGAAATCATCTCTTTCACTCGCCTGGATCTTAACTACGGGTAGCACGGAAGATGGTGATGATGGTGTTAAAGTAAGCCAGAATCGGGATAGTAAGACACGCGCTTACTAGCCTAAAGTAAGTGTGGAGATCTACAGCACACAGTAGAAGGAATAACTCAGTGCTTCTATATGGTCTAGACACCAAAGGCATTTTCAACAGCTCGTTGTAAACTTTCATCAACAGTTGGCTTAGCCAGCTCTATACTGAAGATTGGATGATTGATCAGAGTGAATAAATAACAGGGAACTATGGAAGGTAGCGAAATAGCAGAGAATTTAGTGCCCGAAAAATAAGCAGAAGGAAATAGAGAAGGATTGGACATACACTAGAAGATAATCAAGTGAAATCACATGTTAGGCTCTCGAAGAGACGGGTTAGATATCCGAGAGTGATGTGATCAAGGGAAGAAATAAAAGCTTGCCGGCAGTCGTGGAGTGAACTGAAAGTAATTTCACAGAACGTAATGCAATAGAGATGCGGTGATTAAGCCCTATATTCCATCCGGGAAGCAAGGAACGAATAGTAATATGATAGTATTGACAGTTGATGAGTTGATGATAATAGCAACTACTGTGAAAATCGTAAGTGCTTCAACATGACAATGTTACAGTGAAAATTGAGTTTATAATCTTAGCAATATGTACAGTTGAGATGTTGCTAACATCCGTTATTTCGAACACACGCGAGAAACGATCAAATAAGAAGTTATATTCACCAATTCAATGATAAATATTTGTTAAAACAGGTATACACTCTGTCACACATGTGGTCGAAGGGATTGGTCTGAATTAGAATTCATAACCCATTTGGATAAAGAGTCAACTACGTAGTTTAATCAAAAACAAATGTAAAATGTTTGAACCATAAGTTAGTAGGTCTATAATGTGAGGAATGATCAAACAGATAAAATATGTAATCAATTTAGATTGATGTGCAAGAGAAGTTAGTTGACAATGTTTCATGTGGTGCAGTATACCTGGACCGGATGAATATCCTCCAGCTGTCCAATTGAGAAACGTAACTTCTCGTGTATACAACTGAATAAACTAAGTCGTTTGGGCAGCAAACAAACATCAACTTAACAGGTACGAATAAATAACACTGATCCTAAACCTTATTGGAAACATATTTTCTAATATTGTTGTTTACTAGATAACAATTTAAAAATCTAACTGATACAATCCTACTGCTATTATGTTACAGACAATAGGTCTATTTATGAAGTATATAATGGAAGAGGGTGGACAAACATGCGGAAAATTCATTCCCACATACAAAGTATTCTCACATTGTGTAAATGTTTCATAAGCTGGAGAATAAAGATGATACTATACTATACCATACATATATAAAAGCCTACAAGCCTTTATCAGTGATAGTCAGTCGTCTATCAATTATTCTCTCCATTGCTTTAAAATATCTTGTCGAAATTGTAACTATTTTCCATGAATAGGACAGTCAAATATCGCAGTGGATTGCTATTAGTACTCTCCGTATATGTAGAACAATGCGATGCAGATTACAGCCGCTGGCTGTATTAGTGGATTAATGGTTTTCAGGATTTACCATAGCTCAAAACAGGCGGAAAGAGCACATAAAAACACTTTGAGAATCGCAAGTGGCATCAAGCATCAAAAAGTAACTAACCTGGTGCTTTCAGTTGAATTAGATGAATTGTGTATTTTAAGCTGACCACAACAAAGAGCGAAGTCTCATTCAAGAAAGCTCACTTGAACACAACAGGAAACTTATATGACGGATTGCTTTTTCCTACGATGATTTTATCATAGAACAAAGACTGGTGGCATTTACAGGGGGAGGTGGTGGTGGAGGAGGAGGCAAAGGCAAACTAAGATCTAAACACGGCGGTCTTGAGGGGCTCAGATTACTCAAGTGAGTTGAATGGCGCATAATGTTACGGCCCGTTTCATGTGATGTGGATGACATAGAAGTAGCATTCAAAAAAGAGTTTCTTTTACTCGGTTTTGTTTCATTCGATGTTGGTGATTGTTTGGTAGCAACAAACGGGACTGTTGAATTAATACATACATTGGATGAGCCCAAACTACCCGATGATAACGAAGTATTGTTGTTCGAAAGCTTAGGTAAGTCTATCAACTTTAAGTGCACTGGTAGAGATTGGTGGTCAAGGAGACCCAGAGCGTTGGAAACCTATGAATAAAATAAAACGAATGAAGGATGACATAAATCATGCAGCTTAATAGCAAAAAAGTCATTCTCGACCATACACTCTAAGCAACTAACTATTATATATAATCGCTTAGTGTCCTTTATCTTCCAGTTTTCTATTTTTTTACTGTCAACATTTTTGTTTCATTTTTCTTTTTGATCTTCCCTTATTGTGCTTGTCTGACATACAGTAAACTTTGGCCGACGAAATTACATCAAGCTTTACATTATTATTATCTTTGTCTACACGGTAAAAAATACTTTCGTGAGATTAACTTCTAAACTGCTCACTTCGAAACCTGACATCCCTACCCTCAACCTTTAGGAACTTCGCGGGTGCACACTGCCTAGGAGTCTAACTAAATACCTAGAAAACACAAAATAATTGAGCAAAGAATATCCTTTTCGATAATTTCCTCTTCTGGCTCTACAATTGTATATATATATATATATATATATATATATATATATATATATATATATACATATACATATATATATATATAGAATTTTCTAGATTAGTAGTCAATAACAATATTAGTGTTTTTTTCAATAATACCGATTTGTAAAGTAAGATCACAATGAAATTACAGTTCACTAAAGATGCTTAAATAATAATAATAAAGATATAATAGCAAATAGAATATGAACTAAAATTAGAAAAATTCCACAAAAATTCAGGATCACTTAAACCTAGATGGCCAAGGTGAGGATAATGTCTGAACTAACTTTTTTCGGATGCATAAATGAGGCTTGTTAATATGGATCCCAACAGCCTCAGCAATATTTAGTAGTCGAAATCTTAAGGCGAAATTAAGATTAGTTGGTATGCGGTAAATGACCCTGAAAGCCTGATTAACATCAATCTTGTGTTCTCTATCTACAAGATGAGACAGAATAGCGCTACGAATAGGTTTTGTTTGTCCTTTACTTAACCACTATGCAGGATAATGTTCGGAAATTCGACGAGAAACACGCTTAATTGTACGGCCTATGTAACTGACTCCACAGGAGCAGAGCCAGAAGAGGAAATTATCGAAAAGAATATTCTTTGCTCAATTATTTTGTGTCTTATAGATGTCTAACTAGATAGATGTTTAATGCTCTTTGTTTACAATTTAGCTACACTTCTCTCCCCACGACTGGATGATTCATTGCTAAGCAGCTTCTGCTTCCACATGAGGTACACATCAACTATGTTGTGTTAGACACGACTGTTTTTCAGTCTCAGCTGTTACCTTTCATAGTCACCTACTAGACGGAGATAACGATTATCCCTATGGGACTTACACAAAAGGCCGTAAAACTAAATCACATGGAACTCCTAGGCACTCAAAGTAAAAAGTTTCATACCATATGCCTAAGAAGTAAAATGGTGCAGAGTAGTGAACGAGAGTAACAGGTTGTATAGAATAAAAACCCCGTACTGAATACGACGAGTGACTAGTACTGGTAAATTAATTCTCGAAAAAATCATACTTATCTCCTTCATGGCGCCTAATCAGATTACACGTGTGCGTCGGTGGTACAGTGGTTAGGACCCTCGCCGACCATGCACATGGTCCAAGGTTCCATCTCCTGCCGACGCACACCTGATATCTGCGGTCGGCCTGCAAAATTTGGGCTACCGATATCCATGCTGAAAATTCCATACTTGTACCGCAAAATACGGTGTGGAATCAAGCTGTAATCAAAAATAAAAAATAATAAATGGTTGGAACAAAAATAGTAAAACCGTTTCCCGATTGACAAAAAGATGCATCCATATACTACTTTAAATAATAAAGGCAGCTGGTGACGCTAACATTATGGAAGAGCTATAGTTTGTGTTCACATTATAGTGTACTCACAGTTGCAATTGTATGGTTCTATAAATTACCGCAAACCAGTCGCATTACTGTAAAATTAAACATTAATGAGATGTCCTGAGATGAATTTAAGGGGCAAATACTTCTGAGTATGGAAATGAATGGGTGATATACATTGAAATATGAAAACCAGGTGGTAAGCCGTATGAGGTGATCTGCTTTTAAATTCTGGAGAAACAGCCTCACTACATCTTCCTATTACTTCAGCATTACAAGCGCTAATGACTCAGAAAACTGTGAAAGCTAAAATAGACAATTTAATTTGTTTAACTAGTAATACTTAAAATTAGAGTTATGTGAGACTATATCAGAGGCCGAAGGAGATTCTGAGTACCACAATCTCCAAGATACTTATTAGAAACGAGGTTTACTGACAGGACCTCGAAAAATTGCAGGCTTCTATGAAAACCATGCACGATTGTCAAAAGTGCCTAAATTTTACATTATTCCCAGAAATTTCCTCAAAATTGTTTAATCTAACAATCATTTAAGAATGACGTTGAGAAACCCAAACTATTCATGCTCGCGACTAACAAAACAGATATTATACTAAAACATACGCTTAATTGATGAAAATTTACAAAATAACTTACATTATCCTCATAAAGTGCTGAAGTTCCCATGTGTGCGACATGTCGAAAATCTATAGGGTTGCCGATTGAATATCGGTCAATTTTTACTCGCCTCTAAAGAAAACTATTAAAATGTAATGACCCTTACAGTCTCTATATTATTTGGAATACAACAAAACATTTTAGCCCATTCGTTATTAGATGACCAGTCAGTTAAGACTATTTTAAATACTCAACCCATCGAACAATGAGTTAGGATACGAACACGGCGCGTCTACAGTTAGGTCATACAAGTAACATTAAGTGAAGCATTTTATGACATTCAGAGACAAGTAATAATCTGTCTTCTGAAATGTTCAATGTTATGCGAGGGTGAAATTTTTGGTGCGATTTGGTGAACTACATGTCGAATTCCAATACTGATGACGTAAATGTAGCGATATCCATGCTGAAAATTCCATACTTGTACCAAAAATACATTGTGGAATCAAGCTGTTATCAAAAATAAAAAAATAAAAAATAAAAATAAAAAAAACATATCTCTCCATTTTCGTAACCCTCTTAGGTACTTGAAATAATTGAAGATAGAAACGAACTCCTAATTTTAATGTGGCCAGCGAAAACTGTGTGCTACTTGAATTATGAATGTTCACCAAGCCTTACCTCTGGTTTACATGTCGATTGTTAATTCAATCACAGCTTTACTAAAGTATGGAGAAAAATGAGCTCATTAAAGTGATTGTCTGTCTGTAGGTAAAATGATGTGCTCTCATACATTCCGCCTAAGTATAATCTCCTCCTACTCGGCCAGCTGTCTGTAGGACCAGGTTGACACTGTAGCGGTAAATAATTCCCCAAAATTATTGACCACAGCAATCACTCATTGGATGCTGACCACCACTGTTTAAGTCGACTTGTTTAGCTGAAGGCTTCCGGTCAAGCCTCCCCACCATTTGGTACCCCGTCGTGTAACGTGCACGATCACTAGCTAGTTAAGCGTTTGTCTGAAGGCTTGTTTTGGTCCCAAAATATATCTCTTGGTTTGGACGATCAAATATTGGCTTTTGCTTTGTCTTTGGTACGCGAGAATAAATTAATTAGAAGTTGCTGAACGAGATATCCGTCAACCTCTAAAACACTATTATGATGGAAGTTTCGGTGGGGTATTACAAAATAGATAGCATTTTGTTCACAGTTCATCCCCACAGCTCCCCCATAAATTTTAGGATAATCTTTAAGATCTCCCCCTTGAATAATTACAACTGAGTGACATAATATACCTCAATCAAAAGTTTTCACGTAATTCTCCGAAAATTTACACTTCACCGCTTCCTTCAGTAGTTAGAAATACACAGCGAATCTCTGATGTGAATAATTTTCATACTACATATGCTTAATATTTACAATATGTAACTATAATAGATAAGAATTTCTTACATTTACGTTTACTTCCAATTATTATCATCAATACTGATACCGCTAAAGACCTATGAGAGCAAATAAGAAAAGCTACTCAAACATCACGACTTCTTCTGTACCAGTAATGCTGAATGCATATACTTTAATATTAAAATGTGTGTTCCAGCTTCTCGAGTAATATATCGTGCCAAACTCACATTTAATTACAATTGTCTCTGCGCAGTGACGATTTATGTTGTTTTCAGTGGCATCTAACCGCCTTTGCCGATGCATCCATGATGATAATGGTTTTCTAATACAGTAAACCTTCATGAACAAATCACCTAATACACAGATGATTACGGTTTATATGCTGGCCACTTCAGAAACCCTTGATATTTCATCTCTTCAGCTCACTGATGGCCTGGTGACGCAGGCATTCCCATAGATGAATAGCGGTTTAGCCGTCTCACAAATATCCCCACTATCGAGTTTTTCGCACCTACCAGATGGTCAATAAACATGACAGGAGTAAGAGTTAAGAATCACTCTTCCCACAACATGAACTAATGACTTGACATTAGCCCGTAGTAGCCATGATTTTCGAGAAGCACGCCTTTTTATTTTATCTTCCATTAAAGCAGTGAACTCATGATAAATTACACAACTAATCTGTCAAATAACTACAAATAGCTAATTAACTGGATGCCTCCAATTATATTCTGCATCATACTCATTCGACAGTCTCTATCGTGTCTGTGGATCCATAGCTTACCTAATTAGATTACCACCGAATGTCAATGGACGTGAACATTGAACGTTTGTTTTCGGAACTGGTAGCCATTGGTGGGCAACTCGAAGGCGTGAATGGTTCGATCGTGTACAGTTTTGACGAAGACGAACAAAAACGAATAAAAGTACATAATAATTTCGTATAAAACATTTGTTTGTAGACTTGTACTGTTCTCCACTTTAGTTGCCAAACAACGTAACCTCCTTCTTACAATACTGGTGTTTTGGAGTTAAAGTCGAAGAAACTACATGGTATTTATCGGTGCGGAGCGTCTTCGTAACATTAGGAACTTAGGGATAAGTTCCTTGACACCAACACTGATGGTCAATAGCATGTGTTATTCAGGGAGCGGTGACCTGTTCTCATTGTCCAAAATATTGGAATTACAATTCCTTCTGTTAAGTAGAGAAATGGCAACAGCCGCGACATATTTACCAAAAATGAAAGCTGCAATCAGAATAGTTAATTCTTTAATTCGCTTTTTCAACTCTCTCTGTCGTGAAGCTATCGTTTCTTTCAGATCCCTTCGTACAGAGGTGCTACCTTCGCTAAAAAGAACCAATCGATTGTTGATTCCGGTAAGAGAAGTAAGTCATGGGATTCAAAAAATTCATGGATTCAGGTCAGCTTAGGATACCTCATCTTCAAAACTCTGAGGTACCAGATCGAGGAGTGCCATGAAGAATTGTAATTAGAAGGAGCGATGGGTGAGATTATAAGTTATTTCAAAACAAACATGCCCCGCAATCTTCTTCATACATAAGAGTAGGTAGAACAAAGGTGGTCAGTTACGATGCGAATTTCTTCAGGCATTTGCTTTTAAAAGCAATGCTTGAATAATGTTTGAAGAAATGGACTTATAGTCTTCGACCAAAACCGAAACGAAAAAAAATTGTTCCAGATTAGCTCAGTCAAATCCTTAACAAAACTAAATTGTTCCAAATGAGATTATATTGATGAACGAATTTTAGAGAGCTGTTTTACTTAACGAAACTTATTACATAAACATGGTACAAACATTCAAATATTAAGTTGCCCACCATCCAAACACCATGAACTCAATATATGGACCCAAAATTAGCTCGCAATTGGCACAGCACACACGCTAAACTAGTACGTACAGCGCTTGCTTACCTGTACTTCTAGACTTCACCCTAATGAGCCATACTATCACTGAATTCCAAGAGACACACCTTCCTTATATCCCTTACCAGTGGTCTACTTGTCTAACTAAACCATCTTTGATAGGTGGCACCTGTTGCAAAAACCCAAGCGGCCACTGATTCCCTCCAGTAAGGCCTCATACTACAACAACAAATTCTCCGGCCTGTACATTGCCCCTTATGTCCATTCATTTTTTTTCATTGTTCTAGCAGGAAGACATGTTCTTTGGACCAACGTTTCTAAAACACATCTGCTAAGTGGCTCGCCTGTCTTCACCTTCTGGAGAGCTTGTCACCGACGTGAGTTACATTAATACCTACTGAGTCGTCTGTTATTAACAGTAGCTAAACAAGTGTCAACACTTATATATGTTCGCTGTCCGAAGTGAGTGAAACTAGAAGTCTGTTATTTATGATGTGTTCAGATTCTGTCGATAAAATCATTTGGCTTTCATCAGTAAACGATTATCCATCAACACATACTACCAGAATCATACTTGCAACACGAATCATACGTTCACAAACACCACCCGAACTGCTAGAAGCCAATGGGTTGAAATGCCAATCTATATCTTTACTTCTTGATTCTTGTTTCCATTCCGTTAAACACCTATCTAACTCTCTATTCCTTCCTACCAAATAGGTTCCGCTGTCAATGAACATTTCCTCCGGATGTCCTATCCTACCAAAAAGTCCGATCTGCGCCATTATAATGGATAAACTGCATACCACCACTATATGTGCACCTCATAATCTCTGACAGGCACAAAATAAAGCCGTGGAACTTTTTAAATCTTCTGCCCAGTGTGACCATTGTTGGCCCGAAATAGTCGACACCTGCTGGAAGGAAAGTGTATATGTTCATCCTAACTCTGGCCGTCAGCATGCGTGCTAGCAGCTGAAACTGTGACTTGGAATTTCTCGTCCAACATAGCATGCAGTTTCCGATAAAATTTAACTGCTGCACCTCCTCGTAATATCCAAAGGCATCCTCTAACTGTCGTCACTACCTGTGTGACACCTGCACTGTGGTAGTACCTTGGGATTAGCTATATGACATGATGATTTGGAGGCAGTATTAGGAGGTGTTTCCATTCATTGGGCTATGACGCGTATTGTGATCGGCCGCCAACAAAAGTTCAGCAATTCATTAAGATAGGATGAAGTTTGTGCATGGGGGAGCCAAGTCCGTTCTCCCGAAATAAAAATAAAATTAAAAATTTTAATTCCTTCCGCACCAGCTTGAACCATTATTATGTCCAAATTGTCAAGTCGCAACTCATCTACCTTCAGTGGGCCCAAAATAAGAGATTTATCGATTCCGTTGAGAAGCACTGATTGTGGTTAGAGCTGCTAGCCGAAACTGGTAGGCGGGGATTTAAATCAATAATTACGCCTCACAACTTGGTCATGAGAAAAACAAGAACAAAAAGTAACTCAGCAATTAACAACAGGACATTTTGCTTAGGCGGATGCGGTTCGCAAATATGTGGTCTGAATCTCAAAGAAGAGGCCATAAAGAGATGACAGAAAAACCTGTTGTCAATCACGTCTCAAAAACTGTTAATGCCCAGCCCTTGCTACGCCAGGCCTGTAACTGTCCCTCGAAGACTTTCAGAAACGCTTAGTACTAACGGACGCAAAAACCAAAACACCGATTGGCGACTCGAGAATTCTTTATTCTAACGCCAACATATGATCAACATAATAACTAAGGTCTATGACCAAATATTACAATAATAAATCACGATATTACTTCTGACGGTTTTCATCTTCTTTCTGAACAGCGAACGATGAGACGATGACTGGCAGATTGATCACGCGCGA